GACCCCTGCATTAGATCCCAACGGCGTGGTCGAACGCCAAAAGTGCCGTTTTTTACGACCTACACCTACAGTCTTGGGGCGTCACTCACTTTGCTTAGAACTTAACCTTGCCATGCTGTACGATGCAGTTTTCGCCACGTTCGCCGACTCCATCCCAAGTCTTCTCGCTGCCACAAGTCTTCTCTATCAATAGTACCGCCACACTTCGCATCTGACCAATCAGACGCCTTAGATTCCTTGTCAGACCTTTGGTGTCTGTACATAGTAGTATTGTGCAACATACTGCTCGTGACGCACCGGCATCGTTCGGCAAAGCTTAAAGTTGCCTATCTAACCTAGCATTTTCTTTATCCACTGTTTTCTTTTTTCAATATTTTCCGTTTGTGGACAGGAATTTCAAGTTGCAAAAATGCTTCCGCAGACGTCCTAAGCTTGGGATTCCTTGGCGCCTTTCCCTGGTACAGTACAACTTCCTGTACGTGCTATCGTGGAAGACTGACCCTATGTCGAGCCCGCCTGACCAAGACAACCTCGTAGACGCGACATGCACACGCTCCGCGATAGATCCGGTAATCCCGTTACTTTTGTTACTGCGCGAATCCGAGTACTGAGCGAAGTACTTCGGAACACACGTACACAACCAGCCTAGCCTGCCCACCAGAGAGTTCACTTAATTTTAGATCATTTTCGAGGAATGGGGAGTGGAGTGGCGTTATTTTATCAGCGAGTCCACCCCAGAAAATCCCGGTTACACACAGATTGTCAGCACCGAGTTATCTTCAACGTCTTCGGTATTGTGTATCAGGTAATGAAAACGGGCTACAAAATTCCAGTACCTTGTTGCTGTCAGACCTAACGCCATTTCGGTTAGCCCCTTACAAATGCCATGTGGCATGTGCACGAGAAGGTGGGGAAGACCAGGGGGATATCCCACCGGCTTCACCTCCACGTAAAAACCTTCACCGCTTGAACCAATTCAATTTGGGCACAATGCATGATCAAGCACTATCAAACAACTGCCGAAAAAGTCGGAAATTACGGTGTTAGTGAGAACAAAATAGCGAGCCGCTTTTTGCATCTTTCCCCATGTCAGGATTCGTTACTAACATCCTCTTGGCATGGAGCCGTGTATTTCTTGTCCAGCTTTATCAGTCATCATCTTACCAATTGTCTTGGCACCACTCGTTCGCCCACATCGCCTTAAAGACTGATTGGCTGTATTCTGCCTCAGGGTCCAGTCGTGCCAGATCGATTGTCATGTGTAACCAGATCTCATTTCCTTCCCGTCTTATCTAAGCGGCCATTACTTACTTACCCAGCCACACTATACACAGTATGTTGAGAGCCAAGTGCAACTGCTTCTGTAACTTAATTTGTATTAGACTATATTAGACTACTATACATAGCAGTATCCCACATCGTCAGTGTATTATGTCACGGTGGGGAAGGTATAGATACGTATTATGTAACTAACTAACTTCCTGCAGGGACCAAACATGCAAGCAAGAGAAGAGACGGCCGTTGGTCCCTGCAGGAAGGTCCATCGGAAAACCATAGACGCGGTTCGGCGATATCGAACAAGTTAGTGAAAATTTGTGAGGATGGATACTGAACCTAGACAGAGGCGGCGACCACGGGGAAAGGGGGGGTTCCGAAAGACAAAGTCATGGGCATCATCATTTTCAAGCGTCGTCCAGGAAGAACACGGTAACGAGATGTGGGATGTGGGAGACTCGGATGAGTATAAGTAGGACATCGCGGTCCCTCGAGACAGAACATTCTCCTTTCTCGACATCGCAGACTTCACTCATCCAGTCATCCCACAGTCATCCAACAGCCATCCAACACTCATCCCACCACGGTTAAATATGTTTATCCAGTTCTTCTTCCTCCTCGTCAACTTCGTAACCGCGACGCTTTGCCTCGACCTCGTTTCACCAGCCGCCAAGATGCCCAAGTTCACCTACGAGAGACTTAACAAGTCTGACGCTGTAAGAAGCTTCGAATCCTCTTGTCCCATCCCTCTCATCCCCCTTCCCGTCGAGGTGGTGACTTGTAAACTAACATGACGCCCTAGGCCCTCATCATCCTCGATATGCAGGAAGGTCTCTTCAGCCTCGCTCGTGACTACGATGCCACGCTCTACCGCAATGCCATGTATGCCCACGCCGAGCTAGGCAAGAACTTTGGCATTCCCGTCATCATGTCTACCTCTGCTGAAGTCGGTAAGTACCAACTCCTGGGCTACCAAACGCTTTCATTGTGAAACTCTGGCACGCAAAAGCTTACACAGAATCAAAGGCCCCAACGGTCCCCTCCCCAATGAATTCCTCGAGATGTACCCCGACGTCCAGGTCGTCAAGCGCCAGGGCGAGGTCAACGCCATGGACAACGAGAAGTTCCGTGCCGCCGTCAAGGCCACTGGAAAGTCCCAGATCATCCTCGCTGGTATCGTCACCGATGTTTGTAAGTCCCATCATCCCGCAACCATCCAGATAACTCTTCTCTTGAAGAACATACCACTTACAAGAGTTGAAAACTACAAAGGCACCGCCTTCTGCGCCCTCTCCCTCCGCGAGGCCGGCTACAGCGTCTGGGCCAACCACGAGGCTTCTGGCACCACCTCGGTCGACATCCGCGAGCAAGCCAACGCCCGCATGCGCGACGCCGGCGTCCAGGTGGTCTCGTACTTCGCCATCGTCTGCGAGCTGATGCGCGACTGGCGCAACACCCCCGGCGCGGCTGAGCTCTTCCCCGTCCTCGATCGCTACCTGCCCGCCTACGGCATGATCGCGCGCGGCCACCTCGCCGCCATCAAGGGTGGCGTCATCCAGCCCGGTGAGGAGGCTCTCCCTTGAAGAAGATAGAATCTTGGCGGAATCTTTTTGTTATTCCGGTTGTGCAGTGAGGGCTCAAGCATTCCCTGATCGATGATGGATTGTTTTGAAGTTCCAGCTGCGTGGAACTGGCAATGTGCAATAAAAATGGCGGAAGGGACCGAATGGGAAAAAAGGGTGCCACGTCTTGCGATTTCGTCCCTGCTTGGCCCATCTCACGATAAGCCGTAGGGAGTCGAATGAGACACTGATATTGGCAATGGAAAGATTGGAAGGTAGACAAAATTAGGTGTAGATAATAAGATCGACAAGAGTTACCCCCGATTTGCCCTGTACGCGTATAAATTGTAAGATGCTTGTGACCACAGCTCGCGATAACAAGATCCTAAGCAAATAGCATGGAGTTTCACACGAGATCCCAGTACTCCTTATGCGGAGCACCTACCCTCGAGAAGAATGAGCCGCCCCATGACCAACTGTGTCCTTTCCCACTTCTCTTGGTAATCCATACAACCTTGCCCCTTAACCCTCGTTTTCGAAATTGACTATATGTGGCCATCTGCACCCAGTGCTGGATCTTTTCTGTGTAACCTTGGTCTTGCTGTGCTTAAACCAAATTCTGATGTATAGGATGGTCCTCCCGTTCCCCCGGCAGCTGCTCTTGTCGCAGGAGATTGCGATCCCCGTTAATATACACCATAGTTTTGTGGTACAACCAACACTGGTCGGGGCGACATTCTGTCAACTGTAACGCCCTTAACAAAGCCTGACTAGACTTCTACTATACCATCCTCTCATGATTGCCGAGACCGACACCCAACCATGTCCGTCTTCCAGTTCATGCTGTCCAGTAGACCCTCGATCAACTAGTAGAGAATGTCATACAAGGCACCAATTCGCAGTCCTGCTTCTCGCGACATATCGACACTACGCCGTAGCGATGACACGCATCGCATCCAATATGTTGGAGACGGCGATTCCCAAGGGAGGGGGAGGAGGTTGCTGGACTAGCATGCGGACCGCGCCGAAAATAAAAAGCAATTCAGGTTGACTGAGCCCCAGAAAGTTGACATTCCTTAGAATACCAGCAATTCCGTGGGCAAGCACGTCTTCCAGACATGTAGGTCTCCGGAAGAAGACATACTTCAGTCGTAAGGCGTTTCGCCTTCTGTGAGTATAGGAGCGTCGGTGATGTGACAGGAATGCATTGGAAGAAAAAGACTTGCTGTAACTTTGGCGTGTTGACGATGATGTCTCACCAGGATGAAGAGACCCGTTTCGACAGGAGAAGGTCTTTCATGTCAATCAAACTGAGTATCTACACAGACAACTCGACCACACTGAATACTTTATTGCTTGGTGAGGCTATAGCTGGCTAGGTGAGGGTAGGTCGAGTCGATAACCCTGCCTGCGTCAGTGTTGGGGAAAACCCGAGTCTGTGGTTGTAGATGTTGATTTACATAATACAAAGCCGGTTCTATAACACTCTAGTTCCAGTATAGACAGTGTGTTGTGTGCATCCGGGGGGTAATACGGTCTGGAGGTTCTAACATAGTACTGAACATAAAGTTAAGTTCTAATATTTCCTAGAACGATGTTGGCTTGCAGACCATGTTGCGCAATAAAATAATGTTAGAACTCTGTTAGCAGAATTTTACTACAATACAGGAAGGCGTATTCGAAGTAGTATGTTTTTGTTTTTTTTTTTTAAAAAAAAAAGTAGGTTAAAAGAGGCTGCAGGGCAAGCTAGCACCAGCCTTATTTGAATGAAATGCAGTTTATTCAACTGCGTAATAACATGCATGCAACAGGGGGTTGAAAATTCTGTCTTTATAACCTTGAATGCAGAGTCCTGACACTCTGCTAAAAAAGGGGGGTCCCTCGCGTATGTAGTTACTAGTCTTCATGTTAAGATAACGCCAGGCTCAATATTGGAATATAAAGGGCTTCGGTTGGCCAGGAATGTCGTCCATTGAAACTCATTGTCCTGCACCTGCTTCATGTTAGTACCCAGGCCTACTTTGCGATCTTCGTGGTTGTCGGCAGAAACCCAGCAGTTTCCAAGCACATGCTTTACCTCCTTTCTGCCTACAACACTATAATGAAAAAAAAAACCAGCGGGGAAAGTAATTCTTACATTCTGAAAAGACCGCAAAAAGTAAACTCCGAATCGGGGAATCGAACCCCGGGCTTGACGGCACATGTTGTGGATCGTGAGAGCGTCAAATGTTAGCCACTACACCAATTCGGATGGAATAATGAATGTTGGAAAGAGAGTTGCCCACTAGCGGAGTCGAACCGCTCACCTTGTCATGGCATCTAGATTACTAGTGACACGCTATACCGCTTAGCCAAGCGGGCTTGCCAAGAACTGCTCTTGCTGTTGGAAATTCGAGCCGGAAAGATGGATATTGTTCCGCAGGGTGGTGTACCAAGTGGGGGCTGTCAAAATTTTGTGACTGGCTGTGTACTACGGTATGCAGGCATCTCAGTTTGGACGGAATTTTCGCTTCATTGACGAGATGAGACGTGGACGATGTCTGGTACAATCTGACAAAGGCTATGAGAGAACGATTTGTTTAGGCGAGTAATTATGATGCATCTGCACGTTGCTAGCACGTGGCTCAGGCAGGGGATAAGAGTCTTCGTCATTGAACGGTTCCTTGTGGCTCGCCAAGTTCTTCGTTCGACATAGCAATGATGAGGCCAGGAAGGTCGGGCTCGTCTATTTCGCGATCGAACGGCCACATCGGTCTGGCAATACGCTTGTGTCCAAGCCTCGACAGGTCTTGGTCAACACCGCCAGGCGTAAGCCCTAGCATCCAGTCCTCCGCCATGTCGTAGAGCTCAGGCTCCAGATATCCTATTTTCACAATCACGATGTCCGCCGACCGCGGTGTCAGGCCTAGCTCGGTAAAGTCCCTCTCGAGATGATAAGGCTTTCTCAAATGCGTGAGAATCGCGTAGACGCTTCCCACCTGTAACACAACCTCCACGGACGCGTGACGGTCGCCGTGCTTGATGGAGTGGACTCGTCCGGTCATAGCCAGAGGCCCAGCATGGATGCCATCGACTTCAGCGCCTGCTACGACGGTGACGACAGCCCCAACGCCTGCCTCGACGGCCTTTCGCACTGCTTCCGGTCCAGGGATACTGGCGTAGATGACGGTGGGTCCAGACTCGTACTTAAATTCCGGTCGTGCCAGCAGCTGCGTAAGACCCCAAGTGACGTCTCCAGACCCGCCTGCCGTGGGGTTATCTCCAGAGTCCGAGATGAAAAATGGCCGTTTCTCCGACCGCAGTGCCGTATCAAGACATTCCTTGAACGTCCCCGTGGGCGCGACGAACCTGAAATCCTTGTGTGCGTTCCAGAAGATACGAGCCAGCTTCTCTGCGCCTTGTTGTGTTGTTTCTTTGTCCCAGCCAGTTACCACCACCGCGGCCCGATTTCTAGGTTCATCGGCCCACGCATAGCCCACCCAAATAGCGGCATCTACTATGCCCTTGACCGACTCTACCTCAGGCACAGCAGCATAGATATGTGCCGCAGGTTCGTCTCTCGTGGACGTCTGCTCGCCTGGCAACAGAACGGGCAAGGGCACCCAGGCCTTGATTGGACGAAAAGGTTCCCCCTTTCTCCGTCGGTCAATCAAATCAAGCAGGTTCCTGCACGCGCGCTCCTTCGTCTCCGCGACATCGACATGTGGCGCTGTGCGATAGCAGGTGATCAGATCCGTCTGATGTGCCAACTCTCTCGAGACGTTCCCGTGCAGGTCCATAGACGCAGAGACGAGGACGTCAGAGCCAATCACTTGTCTGCAGCGCCTCAGGAGTTCGTACTCGGCGTCGTCCAAACCCTCGACGCACATGGCGCCATGGATATCGAACCACATCCCGTCGACTTTCTCTTCTACTTCTACGGCCGCTTTGATCTCCTTCAGACGCGACACGATCTCAGCTGATAGCGTCTCGAACGCTTCGCGGGTTACGATGCCGCCCGGCAGCGCATGGCCGATGAGCGCGCCGCGCCAATCTGCGGCGTCACCAAGCGCAGTGCCGGGCTGGATGAAGGCATACTTCTCGATGATCTCGCTGCCTCTGCGAAGGTGGAACGCTGGTGCTTGCGTCCTCGAGGCGGAGAACGTCGATGTTTCGCATGCTAGGCCGGCGATGACGATTACTGGGCGGCGAGTCATGTCTTCGATTCGCGCTGTCTTGAAGTTGATTTGCTTATGTGAGCTCTTAAGTTCGATGCTGTAACCGTGGACGCAGCGATGCACTTCTCTGTTCGTCTCGGAGAAGACCCCCTCTGTGGGGTAATGGATGGCCATACTACTGTTGCTGGAATGTTGAAGCCAAGATCTGGGTGGAGCACACTGAACTTTGCATCGGCTGACATTATCCCGTCTTCACGTCTTGTGCCTCACTCACATTAACAATTAAGGTTCAATCCAACTTTCGAATCATGGATTTCCTGTCGTGGCATAAGGACAGGTAGTCAGATGAATGGGGAAAGAACCTGGACATTCTTCTCATGCATCTCTTCGAGTCTTTCTAAGCTGCAACTCCCAAAACTATGCCCGTCCTGATGGGCAAAGAAATTTTTGTAAATGCCATCAAAGCGGCATTGGCATTCGCAACTTTGTCACGGGTCGTTAGGCTTACCTCTGTACAACCAACTCACACAGCTCTACCGACCTTCACCTGGCGTCGTATGATTTAAGGTTCACACACCCCTTTCTTACCCACAGGATCGGGGCCGGTAGCAGGCTACTTTATTTTAACTTCAGTCGAACTCAGCCTTGACGTAATGATTATGTACTCCGTGATACGATATCAAGAGTCAATGAGCAGTTCATGACAACTCCAGTAGGAGTCGATGTCTATAAAACGGCGAGGAATCTCGGTTCTCCATGTGCTCAGGTTGTCTGAATTGTGTCGGTGAGCTTATCAAACAATACAGCCACAAATACAACTAGCATTCTCGGAAGCAGCCATGGACAAAATCAAGAAAGCCACAGACAAGGCCACGAACGCCATGAGTGGTCAATCGTAAGTTCCATCTCATAGACATCCCCATATACCTGTCAGCAGTATAGAGGCTTACAGACACATGTATAACAGGTCCGCCAACCAGACAGCGCAGAATCCGAGAGATGCCAAGAAGGACACTATCGTCGACTCTGGTGAGTTGATCTCTCCTTATTCTTCAAGCTACATCTCATCTAATATCAACCCGCTTCGTAGCCGTGGACCAGTTCGCCAACAAAAAGGGTGTTCCTCCCGGCGCAAACCCAGAGATGAACAACATGGTCAATGACCAGATCAACAAGATGTAAATAATCATATTCAGACACCTGACAGATCCCTCAAAGCTCTGGGATGATAAAAGAGAGTGGCACAAGTCCCACTTGTGCTCCATCCATACATTAGATGAAACATGTGCTCGATCCCGAACTCGTCTCATGTCGGCTTGCAACGATAACCCATAAACCCATTCCGTGAACCTCACCACCTTTCGCGTCTACAAATCTTTGCTCTCAGGTCCGCAGCGTAGAGCGTGACGCGCCCGACAGTCACAGCAGCCCATAGCACCGTACCACCAGCCCAATCTCAGAGCCCGTAAGCGCCAGGAAGCGTCAGGAGGCGCTTCCCAAGCCTGAAACCCGAGGCTATGCAGGATGAGCATGTGCACCAGGTAGAGCGCGAATGAGAACCCGCCGAGGAACTGCGCAACGCGGGTAGTAAAGATTCTCAGAAGGAAGCCCGCGCTATTGATGACTGACACAAGGGACACGGCGGCGGGGGGCTGCCAGAAGTAGTCCGCTGCTCCCTCTGCGAGGAAGTGCGAAGGAATTACACTGAACAAGGCCTTGAAACCCCAGCTGGTTTCTGCGCCGTGGCTTGTTTGAGGCATGCTAAGGATGAACAAGGAGGTTAACCTAAGAAGGTGACGGAAACGCATATGCTGTCAGTATCATCTGTAATGACGTCCATACCCTCGAGATTCGGGACAGCAGCTTGTGGCTCTGTTGAAATATAAGCCGTACTGGAGTAATTCCGTTCAGAGCTAGTTTTTGATTTTAACAGCCTCATCCGCGACCACAGGCTCACGTCGACGAACATCATACAGCCAATGAACAGAAACACCCCCCGGTGACAGAACCAGAACGAGTAGAAAGCGGCGCTCGTAGCGATGATGAGCTACCTCACTTATTTCACAGTCTAAAGCGGATATCTGGGTGTCCCCTCCTTCCTCTAGTTTTTCGAATCCGTTGTCTAATAAACGGTAGTCTGATGCATTACTGGCCTGCGGCATTTGCAACCGGTTAAATACTCGATAGAACGCTGTATGTAGAAATTTAGCAGCGGCGTGAAACTTGGCAGAATGAAAGTGAATAGAGGAGATGGTGCTCTCGGGACGCCCTCGATTGATGATACAACTCTCGTTATAACCTCCCAGATATCACCCCTGTGTCTCCCTAATATCTTGTCGTTTCAGTATAGGTGTAAGGAGAGGCTATGTACAATCTCTCAACTTTCAGACTACACAGCTTGCCGCCGATCCGTGTTTCTGCTGGTCATATAATGCGATTTGCGCGAAGGGGGCAGACGACAATAGAATCGCGCCTCTATGTAGGCTCAGTATTTACCAGCTCCAAACGGTTTCGAGACAATTTAATAGACGTCCAAAAAATGTTATCTGGTTCGGAGTCTTGCTTGGGCGTTCCACTGAAATCTTGGAAGTTCTGCACCAACGTCTGAAATGAAAACTAAACTTATATGTTTTTTATGTGTTACGCTGATACACGAAGTTAACGGGATTATATAGTTCTACCATGGGTCATCAATGATCCATGGTAGCCAAACATTACTCATGATTCATTGAACCATAATCTCTCATGACAGTCAACTCCATTTGCCACTCCATCTCGTCGTCCACGCGAGACCTTCCCAAGTAGATCACAGGACCCTTGAAGCTAGGTAAAGCTCTAAACTGGATTAAAATTGGAAGAAGTCCAGAGTCTTTCTGGTCATAATCCTGTACAGCAGGACAATAGGTGGGTATTCTTCAAGCAAGCTTTTACTTGAGACAATACGCGCCTGTGCTCCTCTCCGTATGACAGACTCTATACCAACTTAGACATCGCACTCAAGTCTCGTGGATTTCTCTTTGGCAGGTCTTATTCACTCTGCTTTCCGTGTAGCCAGGAACGAAACAGAAGGAGCGCCTCGGTAGTTACTGAATCAAATATACTCCATGCTGCATCTTACATCCTCCAAATCCAGGCTCTTAAACGCACTAACCAGCATGGCGGCACATGCGTACTGCTACCATGTACAGTGTCAATGACATCAGCAGAGAATGAGTCAATGATCGCTTAGTTGCACCTGCCTAAGGCAAAATCGAACACAATGGAAGCAGGAGCGAACAACACTGGGAATATTATAATGAGCAATTACCTGACAGTCAATCCAACATCCAATCAAGAAAACCATCATCGTCTAGTGGTTTAGGATACCAGGTTTTCAAGGCCCAGTTCATGAGGCAGAAATCCCTGGGGACCGGAGTTCGAACCTCCGTGATGGTGTTTGCTTTCTTCGCTTTTTTCTTCTTTTACTTGATAATGTCACTCTCGCTTCAGTTACGTCTAAGGTTCCAGGTAATCCATTAACACCCTAAGGGGGATACGGTGTTGTGCTTCAGCAATATAATACCGCGTTGCCTGTGATAGGCAACAATGCTACAACCGCAAGAAGAAGCCATTCGACGCATTGCGCATCGACGCGTTGAATTTGAGTCTTGCAGCCTTGGAAGGACAATATCCTCCTACACTAGATCCAAATACGTATTTCAATTTACTCCGCGGACTATTTGAGTACAATGTCGTGTTCAGGACTTCCCACATCATGCATGATCAAAATAGATCTCCGGTTTATGCTTTGGAAAAGTTATTCATTCTCCGCCGCTGCCATACCATCATCCGTCACTGCATAAGCCTCTCATATATACCCTCCAGGTCTTTTGAGGGGTCCTCGTTCTCGACTATGCCCACCCAGCACTTCTCGGGCTTCTTGAAGCCCAGGAGCGACTGCACCTTGGGGCTCATCTTCAGCACCTTGCTCCGCGGGTTGGCCAGGAACTGGTTCTCCTCCGTGCGCAGATTGCCACGGCAAAATACAAGGTTTATGATCTTGCGGACCTCATTGGGGATCGTGTTGTATCCCGCGCCGTGGGCCATGTTGCTCAGCAGAATGAAAGCGGACCCCCTTTCCATTTCTATAAGCAACCACAGAGTAAGTGAGCTGTGAGGAGAGAATATATCGAGAAACCAAGAAGGGGAACAGGTGATGGGATGACGAGTTGACTTACCGAGAAAGGTCACCTCGTCTGACCGGCCCTGTCTGCCATGCTCCCACTTATGGGATCCCGGAATGACCATAGTACCGCCGTTCTCTCGCGTTATCTTGCTCACGGCTAAGAAGACGCTGAAGCCGTCGAGGGTCCTGATGTCCTGATTAGGCACGTGTTTGCTGCAAAAGACCATGTCGTCCCTGTGCAGCGATTGGCGCGGCGAGGCCTCGTTAATATAGAAGGCGAGAGAGGTGCTCAACAGCGGCTCGAGGACCAGGTCCTCCGTGTGAGTCTCGAAAACGGCCGGGTACCGCTCCTCGAGGAGCTCCTTGAGGAGCTTGTCGATCGTCTCGTTGGTCGAGAGGATGTCGGCGACGGTGTCCGATTTGGAGACTATGGCGGGGATAATGAGCGTCTTCCTGCCGAAAAAGTTGTCGTACGTGTCGCTCTTGGCTATCTTGGACTTGGTGTACGGCTCGAGCTCCTCTTCGATCTTGTCGACCGTCTCCTGCGCAAGGAAGTCGGCCAGGATCACGCAGCCATCCTCTTCGAGAACTGAGATGATCTCCTCTAGAGAAGCAGTTGCGGGGAGCTTCTCGATGGACCGGGATGGCTTGTAAGAAGCGTCGATAGGGGCCAGTAGACGGGAAGGCCCGTTCCTCTCGTCTTTAGCCGCCCCGTCCATCTTTTTCTGTTGGTATTGAGGGAAACTACAGTATGGAAAGGGGACGGCGGAGACACAGTACGACCGTGACAGCGAAGCCCGAAATTGGTTGCTAGAGTTTGACTCTACATATAGCCCATCCCCCCCTTTACTCTATATTCTCATGATGCAGACATGGGATGCATTTGCCAGACTGGAGTTCCCTGTATCTCACATGGCTGACAACCAGAAAACGGTTCCGACACACCTGCATTTCAATATGCAAGAGCATTCGCTCATTGTGCAGCAGCTTCCGTCGGGTTGTCCCGTTCCGTCAGGAGTTTCAAGTCGACTGCACATGCAGGACTGTGGTGCATGACCCGTAATATTAACCTGGATGGGTCTTGGGCTTTCTGGTCTCTGCATCCCTCCTCGATGAGCTTGGGCCGCTACGCCCTCATCTGTAGTGTTACCTCACTCCGGGCCCGAGCGGGGGCTGCCGTTTTGGAGACATGACAAGGTTTTTTGACGCAGCTCCATCGCCTGATCTCTCCGAAGAGCGCCACGACGGAATCCCCAGCGCACCGAGGTGGTTTGGCAGCGAGGTCCCGGCTGGCTTCCCGATCTTTTCGAGCGATTGTTAAGTCGGGTGTAGGATTTCAGTTCAGGTGACCTGATTACCGCTGTATGTGAGCCACACTATTATACTTCAGAAGTTCCAATATGCAGTGTTATAAGTAGCGCATATGCATCATGCAGACGTATAGTTTTCTGCGGAATCTAGATTTAGTGCCCTCGGAAGTCTATGTGGGGTGATGCTAACATACAATCCGATCGACAGCATTCGTCTCGCCTGGGTCCAGCCTATCAGACACACACCCTTCCCGTATGTTTCCGACTCAGACATCGAGTTAGATGTTACCGGGATTCAGGACGACTTCCGCTGCACCTTCAAGCCCTCTCGCAGACTGCTCTGCTCTGATGTCGAAGCGCGCATGGCGTCCATCCAGACGGCCCTAGTGCGCGCCTCCTCGAGCGTCCGCAGCCCCTGGATAGTGGAGCCCCCCGGGCAGGCGACCTCGTAGCGCAGGTCCTGCGTCGTCTTGCCGTTCAGGATAAGTTCCGCCGTGCCGCGCATAGTGGCCGCCGCCATCTGTGTCGCCTCGCTGCGCGAGAGGCCCAGCGCAACGGCCCCGTCCACCAGGCCGTCGATGACCATGGCGAAGAAGGCAGGCGTGGACCCGTTGAGCGTGGTACAGATAGGGAACGTTTCGGGCGGTGTGGTGAACACGGTCCCGACGCACGAGAAGATCTCGCACGCTGTGGCCGCGAAGCGCTCGGGCAGTGGTCTGTCCTGACGCGCGCGAGCTTCGAGCATGGTGCTCGAGGCTTGGACGGCGCTGGCGATGTTGGGCATGACCCGGATCGCGGAGAATGCGCCGTCAAGCGAGTCAGTTGATGAGCTGTCCTTGGTGGCGAGCAGTTCCAGGTGGCTCTCGATTTCGTGTGCAGTCACGCCTGCGAGGACTGAAATTATAAGCTTTCCTCGTAAAGCGGTAGCCATTCCTGGCTCCTCGAGAACAGATTTGAAGAGGTGCGGCTGGCAAGCCAGTAGCACGAGCTCAGAATTCTGGACGGCAGAGACGTTGTCCTTGATGTGAAGATCCACGGTGCTGCCGAGGGCTCCAGATGGCAGCTTGGAGCGAATGCTTTCGGCGGCCTCGACACGCCTTACGCACGCTTTGAAGCGACTAGGGAGTGAGCTTTCTCCAGGCATTTTGTGACCTGATGTCTGTGCAGATAGTACGCCGAGAAGCACTGCAGTTCCCATGACTCCTTCAATGAGATTTACACATTAGTCTATGGTTCGGAGTCTTGCGATAGCCGTGCTGTGCCAAGTCTCACCGCATCCTAGAATTGCCAGTGTGTCTCCCACACGTCCATGGCTCCCATTAGTTGTCGTAGATGGGCTGCTGAGACCTCCGGGGGTTGTTGGGAGTGGGCGCATTGCCATGTTAAGAAGGGCACGGACAGTTGTTTCACTTGGATTGTTGAATAGGGCAGGTATGAAAAGGTGAACTCCTCGCTCCGAGGTATGCGTGTCTTGCAAATAATGATATTTATATGTGTTTAAAAATAATGCTACTACCCTTGCGGTGTGAGAGTAGCCGCCCCAGCTCCCTTAACAAGAGCTCTTTTTACATTTTCTCTTTGCAGTCATGGTACGAAAAACTCCTATTCACAGTGCATATATACTGTATTTACCGAAAAAAGGCGAACCTGTCGGTTTATTTTTTTCACTCCGATGTGTGGCTGATACTTGCGGTCCGTAGTATAGATAGTATAGATAGATAGATGCCCTCGTCTAACCCAGAAGCGCCCGGTCTTCTTCCATCGACAATCCTCGCCAGAATCTCTCTTTCTCGGTGTGTGAACCTTCTCAGCCATTATGCCGGAATTCCCTCCACCCATCGATCCATCTTACGTCCCGTCGTGCTCACTCACAAGCATTTCTTCAACTGCGCCGGTGGAGCACATAATCAAAGTTCTTGAGCGAGATGGCGCCCTCATCCTCACTGACCTCGTTCCTCCTCAAGATGTGGCTTCCATCAACCAGGAGCTCGAGCCCTATATTGAGCAGGCGAGGGCGGAGACGCACGAAGCTTACGACCTGATCCCCAACCAAACAGTAGTGGTCCCTGGCATCGTAGGGAAGTCGCCCACTATGACCCGAATTGCAGAGTTTGAAATTATCGATCAGCTGCGCACACTGGTCCTGGCAAAGAAGTGCACCGCGACATGGGAAGACCGGACTGAGGAGTTCACGATCGGACCGTTATTAAACAGCAGCCTGACCTACCACATCAGCTACGGCGGCCCTCGCCAGAGGCTACATAGAGACGACATGATACACGGCACCTATCATGACGGCGGCGAGTACAGTTTCTCGAATGAGACTATGCTCGGCTTTATGATAGCTGGGGTCAAGACCACGCGCGAGAACGGGGCGACGATGGCCATTCCCGGGTCTCACAAATGGAACCACACTCGGGTCCCCAGGACTGACGAGGTCTGCTTTGCGGGTAAAAAATTCAAGCCCAAAAAGGCGTCCTATTTTCACCCGATAGATTGTCTAACTCATACTGATGCTGATACATACTCGTATCTAGAGATGGAACCGGGCTCCGCCTTTGTCTTTCTCGGCAGTGTCTACCACGGCGCTGGGCACAACTCTGTGCCTGATCAAGTGCGCAAGCTTTATGGTCTATTTTTCGTCCCGGGTACGCACCGTCCGGAGGAGAATCAGTTCCTGGCCATTCCCCGAAGCAAGGTGCTGGGGATGAGCGAAAAGATGCTATCCCTGCTTGGATACAAGAAGCCGGAGACCTGGCTGGGTATTGTGAATAATGGTGATCCGGCAGAGAACCTGGAAGAGGTCCTTCGCATGGCCAATCAGTAGTAGGTGTTACCTAATACGAGAACGTTTGTGAGGGAGTATTTCATATTAGATCCGTCGTATTTTTTGTCTTCTATGGTCTTCACATCTGCAGCATGTGAGACATCCTTGCTGCACCTTGTCGCCGGCGAGTCCC